CCCGTTCCCTTCGTCTCTCCTTCTCTCTCTCTCTCTCTCTCTCTCTTTCTCTCTCTCACCCATCCCCGTGATCTTTAGCACGCTAGTCGAGACAAATCACCTGTCAAACCTGTCACCGCTCGCAAGCCCTGTATACGTAATGACACGACGAATGCAGCTATATAAAGTATAAGTATCTCTTATATATACTTACGATGTAATTGTATATTGTATACAAGTATGTATATATACGTATACGTATACGTATGTATTTTACGTATCGCCGGCCTACAGCAGGTGTTTTATTTCGCCTCTTATCCTCTGGTAATACGAATCATCACGAAAGTGTATCTCTTCTTTTAGTTTCCATTCGCTCTCTCATGCTCTCTCTCTCTCTCTTTCTCTCTCTCGTCTCATGCCGCAAAGTGTGTGTTTCTCCGTGTGAACGTGTTTGCTTGTCTCGTGTGTCTCGTTATGTGTGTTTGTTTTGTTTTCTTTTTACATAAAATATCGCGTACCAGACGATTTTACAAAACTTTACCCTGGAATAATGTACTTTACGCTGTGCGAGGCGACCGATCGCGAAAAAAGTTTCGCGGATACATTTTCTTCTTCTTCTTCTTCGCGGGCCTTCTCCTCTTATCCGCGCAGTCTCGGTCGAGTCTCTTCGCGATCGGTACTTTCAATGTGCCCCCCTGCGACTCGCGCACGCGCACACACACCCACACACACACACACACACCCACATTAGAAGCACACGCATACATCTCGGTAATATCATTTATTTTATTCTGCGATTTCGCGATGACCAACTCACATCCGTATCGCGATCGAATGCGACGTGCCACTTCGCTTTTAACCCTTTCAACAGCCACGTTACGTAATAAACTTCTATTGGTCGACTGTTGTATTGTCACGACGCGCGTTGAACTTCCGAAATTAAGGGATCACGTTAAAAGCGTGACATCGTCGTTAAAATCGTGACGTGTAGAATTAAAAGATCAAGAAGGACCATCCGTAACACTCAGCGTGTTATCCGGCTAGGGATGCTGAAAGGGTCAAGAGATTCGCAGAACTCGACTGTGATAATCACATCTCGCGCTCTCGTCGGGGCGACACATATTACAAAGGGCGACGATCTCTACGCATTTGAAAGACGCAGTCGCAAATCGTACACGCGACATTTTACAC